TCATCAGCAAATCGCATATATTACACATACCGCACGCATAATTTATAAATTCTTATCGCATAAATTCCGTGTCCCTGTTGCCCGGTAACACTTTAAAGTACTTTTTGGTTTCACTAACAAAAAATAGTCGTAAAAGAACGTAGATATTCACTGTTAAAAATAATCCACCTTTCCAAAAACTTCACTTAGGAGTTACTATATACTGCTAATACTGGCTATATTAACTATATGTAAGTTTTAAATGCCAAAAAAAAGAAGATTGAGACATTACATGTAAGCTTTAAACTTAGAACTTTGAGTGTGCTGTTTAATGTGATATATATTATAATAATAGGCTTGTACTAATGTTTACAGTATAGTTTACGTTTATAGAGCTATACTATTAGAGTAATAAATGTAACTTTGGATTAAGTAACAGGTTAATAATATGTATAAGTATTATAAGCTTTATTAATTATATGGGCTAAGGGTTATGTCGCGTTTTAAATAAAGGTTGTGATAACTAAAATACTTTTCAAAATATACAGTAGAATAAAAGATAGCTTCGTTAATAATTTATTCACATATGAAATTTTAATCGATTTGAAGCTTGGGTTTATTAGTAATAAATATCAAGTTACGCGTTATCTATTTAAAATGTAACAAATTCTTATTTATTAGTTTGTAAGCTTCTTTATGTAAAGTTCTTTTCGTTTTCTAGTAGTTTTAATTATCACGGGAATTCACGGGTAGATCTACAAAAATTAACCAATAACACGAATGGGAAAGCGCATACAAGAAGACTATTTAACATACTTCCTCAACAAACGTGATGATTGGATTCTTCAAGCACTATAATTTTGCGTATCGTGAAAAATCGAATGCTTACGTAGCACTAAGTGCTTAAAGTATATGAGTTCGAGTTCAGACCAAGAGTTTAATAATGAAGGAAACTCTAGAGGTATACTTAGTAAACTTTACGCGTGTTTCATAAATTCAAAATAACATGAGTCCTCATTTTCTGATAGAACGAAAAATGTAAGAAAAATATTAATGCCCACTGGGTATCAAAAAAGCAGGAGGAAAAGAAACAAAACATAGAACAAAGAATAAGAAATGCTGAGAAAAGGAGCAAGTTGCATGATGTATGATTCAGAATAAATTTCTGAATTCATAATCTTTCAAATTCAAATTATTAATGAATCGTCTTATTAGTATCTTCCCCAGCATCGCCACCAATTTTTTTTCGATCACGTGATCGTACAAAAATCGTTAAGTTCGTTTAGATTAGGGTTAGGGTCTGTGCTAAGGTTAGGGTTTATGTGTTTTTAATAGCAAAATCGCTCAAGAAAAACTTTTTGTTAATGCACAGAAGGTGATTTCTTATGTAAATTTTTGAGTTAGAGGAGAATTTTTGAAAACGAACGTTTGTTTCGGATCTTCCTGATTGTGTTACGTTACACCAAGGCGTGATTTATTATTGGATAGTTTCACGTGATCGAAAAAATTTTATTAGTATTTTGGTGGCGATCCAGGGGAAGTTCTTATTAGTTAAAACAACACGTGACTATAAATAAATTAGTATACAAACAAGATAATACTGTCTGTGAAAATTTCAATGCAGAAGTGTTAGAAAAAAGAGATAGCATTCAAGATATCGAAAATGGACAACTGTTGCTGTCTAATCCAAAATCTCAATCTCATAAACGAAAGTAAAAAATTTACTGAAAAATAAGGTATACTACTATTAGGATAAAGGGTCTGATCTAATCAGTAATTATAACTAACATTTTTGACAGAATTTTAAGATACGTCTCCCGAGGTTGAGAGTGGTGAAAATGAAGAATATGAGGATGAAGATAATGTTATCGATTTAGTATAGTTTTGTTCGATCAATAGGGAGAATCAAGCAAAGGTGGAGAGGGGTTGACGTGTGGCGAAAAAATTAGAGACGTTCTTGTTCAAAGACTATTGATCAAGCAAAGGAACTACAATCTGAAGAGGAAATTTTAGATGCATCTACCTTAAGCACTATACAGTATATGATTTATTTTGCGGTCATTGAGTTGCAGTTATCAGGTATGGTTTAACACATATTACGCATTGCATTATGTTTCATAGTTATTTATACTTTTAGTTCTATTTTATTGCTTAGCTCTATATGGTCAAATAATTGGTGTTGACTTATTAGATAATGGATTGTATTTCGGTTTTGAAGGGCACTGTTAAGGATCAGTGATATTACTGTTCTGAAACAAACTTTGGAAGCATTATATTTCTTTAAGGTAAGAAACTGGATTTTTTAATGTTTATTTATGATGGATTATTTATAATGCTTTTTAAATATTAGGAAAGTATTATTCACAAAGCAGAAGCACTATCGTGTCTTAATAATAACTCAAATCCCTTTAGTAATATTTTTCACACTGATTTCATAAGTCCAACCAATGTTGGAACTCTGTTTTGAGATTTATGTTCTCAGAAATTTATTTATATTCTCAATATTAAAATTTATTTATATCCCTATTTTTAAATTTTGGAAAATATCAGTTATTATTCAAATTTTTGTCCCAACTCTTCTCATCTTTAATGATCATTCATTTTTTCTTTTCAGATGATTCAGAACTTCGTTCGATTCCTAATTTTATTTCTATCTTGCATTATGCTATTATATTTATATAATACTTATATAGAGAACATATTTTTCGAGTATTATGTTTTCAAATTTTTTTTCATAGAGAACATTAACAGAATATCAAATGTTCTCAAATATAAAGGTATGTTCTCATGAAAACATGAGAACATAAGATTCCAACACTGAGTCCAATGTATTTTACACCGCAAAAAGATAAAAGAAATGAGTGAAGAAAACCCGACAATTTAAATATAGTCTATTTAAATTGTCGGGTTTTCTTTTGGAGACACAAATGAAATAAGATTGTTGTCATCCAATAATCACATTCAATATTGTAATATTAATATATAATAATAAACTTTCCTTGTCCTCCTATTGCATTCTTCAACAAATTAAAAATTTTCTAACATTAACAATTAATTTGCAAGTAACCTCCGAATTCATTAATATTGTTTTCGAACCCACTTTACTCGTTAAAGAGAATCGGAAGCACGTTATATTTGTAATATGCAACCGTCGTGGTGTGGTATATACCCATGTGGGGAATCGAAGAAGGTGCTTGGTAAAAATTAAAAATCCTGGTCTTGAAAACTCTGAAAATCTGGGATATCGCGAATAGTGATCTGCATCTTTCCACAAATTTTAAAAACGCCTGTAAGTTGCTACATGGTTCGATGATCTGAAAAAAAACCGTACTCGATTCATACAAATTTTGGTCAGGCCTAGTCAAAAAAATAAATCACATTTTGCCAGTAATCTTATCATTTCTGATAAAAAATAAAAAAGCATAATTGTAAATAAAGTTCTAAATTTTTGCATCGTATAGCTAATACCTTCATTTATACACGTTTAAATTTTGACCAATTTGCACATCGTATTAAAATAAAAAAATGTGAGCCCACGACCACCTTCTTATTTATTTCATAAAAAATTATATTTCCAGCAACAACATAATATGCAAATAAATTTTTTGATTATACCTTAAGGGATTTACCATAAAATCCCGGAAGACAAATTCCCTAATTACCGACAAAGTTAGTCGGTATTCGCTATAATGTTGGCCAATTTAGTCAGTATTATGTTCTTACGGAAAATGGTTTTCGGGATTTTGTGGTAGAACCACATTAAGGATCATAATCATTATAACTATAATCATCATCACCAATTGAATACCACATATAACTATCAAGAGAATGTAAAAAATTTGAAGTCTAGGTTACCCGACTACATGAAAGTAAAAAATAATGATGTAATAACGCATGATTGATTTGCTATTAAGAACAATTATATATCTAATAAATGGTGGGTGGTTCTTTGTACTATTATTTAGCATTACTTTTACATGTTACCTATATTAAACAAGCTTATTTCAATAAACTTTGTGAAAAGATTATTTTTATCATGTGCAAAATATATCAAATCAGTTTTTATTAATTTCAAAATATATAGTTAATAAAAACAAGCTCAATACCAAAAACGGAGTGACATTGAAAATTTCACGAAGTGTATGATTATACGGCAAGTTAAATGATGTTTGTCCGCAAAATCTTGCATATTATTGGATATATGCGTATGGCGAAGCAAGGGTGGGAAAGAATATCAGGAGCTTCACATGTGTAATCCAAACAATATCTGCGCATGGTTGATGAATCCGTATTGCTGTTTTTCCCATGATGTGTTCTAGGAATTGATCAGTCCGGCCCGGTCCCTAATAAGACCGGCCCATTAATGTTCTTAGTCCAGTCTCGGTTCCTTAATTATTTAAACCTCTAAACATTTCGTTGCTAGCAGAGGGTGTCAAAGTCATATGACGTCGGCAATTGAAAATAAGCGATCACATAACATTCTTTTTAATAATTTTAATCAGCTATTTTAACTATTTATGAAGACCAGTCTCAAGAACAAGGACCGAATAACCGTAAAACTAGTTAAAAAGGCCGATTTTTTCAGGACTAACCTGTTCTATTGTGATTATATCTACAAATTATCAAGTTACTTAAAGCAAGAACGGACCTCATTTAGTATAGGTGGGAATATAGAAATATTATAATATAAAAAAACTCTAACCCTAACTTTAACCTAACTATAATTCAAACTATAACCCTCACCCTAACTCTAACTATTCTTAAATTAGTCCAAATAGTTATTTTTATATATAATAATCATATAATATTTTTATATCCCCACCTATACTAAATATCAACCTTAATGTATTTATAGATATAAATTTTTTGGTTCTCATAACATAAAATTTTAAAAATGACCCGGCAACCCGGCTTTTAATTTTATTTTCAAAAAAATTTTATATGTAAAAAACATATAAAATTTTTTTACCAATATTTAAAAAAGTTCACCCGCTTAAATAAATATAGTAAAAATTTTTTTCAAAATTTTGTTGAATTTGACCCGGCCGGGTTATGAGAACCAATTAATTA